ACATTTTAAACTATTAGGACAATTCAGATATGCACGTTTGGAACTCACCTAACTTTGTCTGGAAATGCATCTCCAGACTCAACGTTCTTATTTCAGCAGAAAACTAAGATTAATGCAAGAAATGAGAGATGAAATGAATGATATTTACCTGCAATTTCAACTTATTTTACCCCCTTTGAAGTGGTGAAATACAAGAATCATATTTTAGTGTTACAAAATTGATTGAGAATGAGATAAAATTTTTCCAAGGGTGTTGAAAATGGTTATTTGTTTTAGCATGACGAAGAAAAACTCATACAAGTGGTGTTTTATCAACTTTTTTTGCTGGACATTTTCGAAAATGCATCTCCGAAAAATATCATTGAGTTGTTATTTAAATCATTTGCATGAATAAAAAACTCATAAATAAGTTCGTGGGGATATTTCAGAGATGCATTTTCGTATACACCCAAATTTGATACAGAGATGCATCTTCAGACTTTTTAAAAAAAATTAGAATAAAACTCAAAAAAGAGAAGATATGTGTGATTTTGGATACGTCTGAAGACACATCTTCGAATATTTAAAACTATTTTAAAATTTTTAAGGGTGTGGAAGACACCACCGATGACGGAAAGAGTATAACCCCAAAGGTATTTAGGATTAAAAAATCAACTTTATTAGATGGAATGGGTGTAGCTAATAAAAAAATAAAAACAACGTGTAGATAGCACTAACCTTATAAATAACATTGAGGGTCATGGCTTCTCATTTTTGGATGCAAGGCCTGCTCATTCCTACTGCCGAGGAGAACCAGAAGAAAGAGAGAAAGGTTTCAGAGACAACCTCGGCGTATTCGTGGTCTTAAACTCTTACTACCTCAAAATCAAACCTTAGTCTACGAACAAAACTCTTCTCCTCGAACAAAACTCTTCTCCTTAAACCACATCATTGTACAACCCTTCAGATTCCTTCCAACACTCCTAGTAAATTTCAAACGCTTTTGATTCTGTCCGATATGCAAACAACGCGATGGCTAAATTTTGTGTCCATGAAGAATCGCATTATTCCATCCATTGAACATTTCTCAGCTTTTCATTCTTCTCCGTGTTCTTGTCACAAATGGAAGAGCAATCCCGTGAGTTTTTTGTTTTGCGTGTTGTGAATTGTTACATTTGTCTATTGGAATTATTTGAAAATAATGTAATGTTTTTTTTGTTGGGTTCTTGCAGGATATAAGAGGACAACAACCATCTAAGGTGTGTATACCTTGCAGCATTTAACTTCAGAAGGAATAAAAATCATGAATATTTAGATTCATTTTCTGTTGGTGATGTAGTATATATATTTCTGATTTGTTTATATGTTAGCTAACGCAATTCCAAACACATATTTCTAGTTGTGTCCCTTGTATATTGTTGTACGCATTCACGCATAATGCCACCCGAGTTAAGCATAACCTGTTAAACTAATCCTGTAAGGTGAAGATTTTCTGCATCTTACACTAGGCACCTATGAAACACGGACACGCCGAATACGACATACAATTTGAAATAAAGCCCCCTTAGGTTTGTATCTATTAAATTAGATTAGATTAGATATAGATTAGACACCATTGGTCCAGTTTTATAGATTTCTCGTTTCTCAAGCAATTTTGAACTATGATTTCTAATCTCCATTGGGACTCGTATGGAGTTTGGATAGGGTTTTGTTTCGCATGCAGATTAGGACAGTCCCTCTTTATTCCTCTCCGTGCAGCACTTGTTGGGAACATGGTAGTCAGAATCGCGATCCTACTAGTAGGATCGTCCGATTATAGGATTATGATAAGCCTAACAATTCTACTAAAGGGAAAACTCGGATTTGGATAGGGTCAGTGGGATCACCCTATTCTACGATTATGTTGTACTCTGCCTCCATTTCATTCCAAATAACTTCTGAAACCCTCCCCAATATACCTACTTAATCCCATTAGTTTTTTTTTTTTTTAAATTTCCGAATACATGCACCAAATCATTTATTTTCTCCACCTATCTATTGAATAGCGGTTTCTTTTCATTCCCTCTCACTACTTTAAATATACCATCAATCAGTTTTTTTATGATCCACTGTTATGAATTCTGATTTTTGATTTAAGAATTTTCATTATCGGAGCTTTTTTATAAATAATTTATGTTTTTTCCTATGCATATTTATGAATAAATATGCAATGTATATTAGTTTGCCAAATTGGTAGGATCTTACTATGCGTGTTACGGTCCTCCGGTTCATGATCTTGTGACACATCCCCAATCCTATGTAGGATCTTGATTCTTACTACCTTGGTTGGGAAAACCTTGCTTATTTGATCTATATAAATACTGATATAGTTCTTCTCTAATGCTGGAAATGTTAATTTCAGAATCAAATCAAATTTGTTACTCGTCAAAAGCGCGCTGATGCAAAGAAAGCCTTAAAAAATCTCCTTTACAATAGTGGATCCTCAAGATTTTCATTTGAGGTATGCTTTCTACAAAGAAACTTTGTCATTGTATGTTGCTATTAGGATGATCTTTTGTTTTATTTACTGTTGCAATGATTGCTTAATATTTGTTGATGGTGTGAGCAAAGTTTGTGGATCTAATTAAGATGAACTGCAGTTGCAAGAATTTGTTAGCATTGAGGTAATAGTTTTTTTTTTTATTTTTGAAATTTTGGTATTTGACCTTGCGACCGACTCATCCAAGAGGACCAATCCCACCGTCCACTAGCGGGGATCCCATTTAATGCCAGAGCAAAGCTCCATATGGATTGGCCCAGCATTGAGATAATAGTAGTAATGTTTGTGCTATTAAGATGGGGTTTTCATCATGAATTTGTTAGCATTGGCTGTAGTCATAGATAATGAGGGTAGGATGGGCAATGGTGAACACAATTAAGAACAAATATGCAGTTGCGCATTGTCTGTGCACCTTGTGGCAAGCGCACATGAGTTCGTGCTACCAGGATGGAATAATACTAGAGTTTTTGACTGATCTTTGCAATTTAAAACCAGAAAAACACATGTTGAGTATAGCCCTTCAATCAATTTGTATATTATTCAGAAATACAGTAAAGGTCTATCTCCCTATGCTGCAATGCAAGAAGTGGCTGCAGATTTATGTCCTCGCACTATCTATTGTTGAGACTTGAGACGGAGAGGCCAATGAATTCGTTTTTGTTTATAAAAATGCAACTTGTCTGTTTTCAAACATTTGAACAAGTTTTTACTTTCACCTCACTCATCATACTGTTGTCTATTTTGTATATTCTATATATTAGAATTACTGTAAAAAATATGAAGGCAGTGTTTTATGGTGTATATTCTCGTAGGACAAAGAAACAAAACAGAAACTTGATGGAAACTCCAACGATCGTTCAAATAGCCATTCCAGGAAAGGCCAACCAAAGTCTGGTCAACGATTTGGTGGAAAACCTCAAAAGAAAACTAAACGTGAGTTCCTTTCAATATGCATATTCTTCTTTATCCTTTCCCTTTCTCACTTTCAATCTCACTTTCAATCACTCGTCTGTATTAGTTAAAATATCCAATGTGGTTTTGAAACGTTACAAATACCCCCACTGCATTACTGCAAATTCCTTGTTAATTCATATTCTGGAAATTATGAAAGAGCACACAATTCAGTAATTACGACTTGGTACCCATTTTGAGGGGAATCATTATAGCTAAGTTTTATTTATGACTTGGTACACATTTTAGCAAATAATTCGGATATATATTAAAGGTGTTTTGTTAATCTGAACATACTCATTTGGTTCTGCGTCCATGGTTCTAAAACCACATCAGTAGTGTAAGAATTGCAAAAAAAAATTACTAGTAATGCAAGAGTTATTATGTAGATGCTTTTCCAAAGTCTTATTCGCATTCAATGTAACATACCACCAAACACACGCTGAATGTTCATTTTCCTAACTATTGATCTCCATTGTGTGTTCAGAAAAAATCAGAAGAGAAAGTTTTTGTGAGGATGTTGATGACCATGGCCATCCTGAACAGATATTTCAGGCAACATTTGGTAACCGATGTTATACCTGGTCCTACAGCAATATGAGGGGATCTTCTTCTGAACATTCCACATACGGCTTTGAATGGAGGGAACATTCAAATAGGACAAACACAAACAAATGGAAAAGTGCAAGCGATGATGAGTATGACCTTAACGATAAAGATGATGATGATTCATGCTTTGTAGGATCAAGTTCTGATAGAACTATTCTTGGTTTGCCTCCAACAGGTCCATTAAAGATAGAAGATGTTAAAATTGCGTAAGTGCTTTTGGCTTCCTGTCCATATCATACACACGTTACAAATTTCTGATATCTCTTCATTGCCTTTGCAGCTTCCGGTTATCCGCTTTAAAATGGCATCCTGATAAACATCAGGGCCCTTCACAGGTTAGTTTGAATTACTTGTTTAACTCATCATCTACCTCTTAAACAAATGTCTGGCACTTAACCTTTCCGCAAATGCAGGCAATGGCTGAAGAAAAATTCAAACTATGTTTAAATGCTTACAAAACATTATGCAATGCTCTCTCCCCAGCTTAGGAGTATGTTTAAATGCTTACAAAACATTATGCAATGCTCTCTCCCCAGCTTAGGAGGCAAGATGGATTTCTCAAAGCTGGTCACTGGTGTAGCTCTATGTAGGATCAAATTCAATTGGTTGTACCATTATAGTATAATAGTCCGAAAAATTGTATTATTTCTCTATGGTAAAAATAGCTGACCGATAAACTAGTTTATAGATGATGACTGATAACTTATAGTTGATGATTAAGAAAATAAGTGGTTTCTTAATAATACATTTGCCTTATTGCAATTGACCCCTTTTTGATTTCAGAATTGCACTTAATTCAATCATGCAGAATTATACATAGAAATAAAAACAAGCTAATGCTAGAATTAATTAAACCTGTTTCTCTCTATCAAAATAGGATAGTACTATTCCATTACAAAGCATTTAAGTTGAACTAAAACCCTCAAAAACAAAGAAGAACAACAGAGGAAGAGATCATAAAACCATAGATCAAGATCAAGAAGCCAAAATGAAGAGCCCAATTTCTCTTAAACTTACCAAAATAGCTCTCAGGAGGTTCCTGATAATGAATCTCAAACTCTTCATCCCCAATAGCTTCATAATCAGCACCACCACTCAACCTCATCTTCATATCCCTAAGCTTCTCAGTAGCCAAACCAAGCGTAAGCTTGTGACACCTTCTCTGATACTTGAACCCATTAATGCATCTAAGAGTCTGTGCTACAGAGACATAGAAGATGAGGTGGGCCATGGAGAGAAGAGTGATGGGGATCCAACAGTGGCGACATTGAAGACGAGACGAGATTGATTGTGCCATGAAGAGTAAAGTGAGGAAGATGAAGAAGATTTGGAATAGCTTGTGGAGTTCCTTTTTTTGAAGGTCAATGGAACGTTTCTTCTCGAGGGTTTTCTCGAAATGGAGCTGAATGATCGTGTTCAGTGCTTGGAAAGCTGTTTCTCTAGAAACTACTTGCTGCTGTTGTTGTTGATGGTGGTGGTGGTGGTGGTTTTCGTAGTCTGCCATGATTAACGGTAACAAAAGAGAGAGAAGAAGAAGAGAGATGTTGTGTTGTGTTGTGGTATCTGGACCCGACAATAACGTTTGGAGTTGATTGGAATGTTGTTATCAAACTTAAAAGGTGAAATTAATATTACACTCAAAAGCTGGTGTTGTGTTTGTTTTGTGACAGTAATTAATTAGTACTGCTTTTTGACAGGGTGTCACGGTAATTCGGGAAGTAAAAGAATGAATAAAAAAGATGGTTGGGATATAGGGACATTTTAAATTCAAGAGTTGAAGTAGTGATAGAAGAATGAACAGTGGGTGCTTATCCCAAAAATTAGTTAAGTGGAGTGAGGTGAAGTGAGTCCGTGAGTGGGTGAGTGAAAGTAAAGCCCTTTTAATTAAACCGGGCATGAACAACTACCATCAAAGAGAAAAAAAGGATTTTAAGAAGTGTTTCTTAAAAATATTTTGGGTATTACTTATCCACTCCTATGAAATGCAGGTGATCAAACTAAAAACTCGAATTTTTTGTCTTCTGTTTTAGATATGTATTGTTGGATGTATTTAAAATGCATACAACGCTTAATAAGTGAGTTATTTATCTTGTATATGTTAAAAAAATTGTTTAAAAATGTATCTACAGAATCACTTTGAAAAAAATTACAAATATGCATTTTTGGATAGCCTTGAAAATATTTTATGTTTCACAAGTGAACCATTAATTTTAAATTTGTCAAATATAAACTGAATATGCATAACTTTTGAAAGTATTTGAGAGTTTATTAACATTAAGTAGCAAGTGTCTCAAGTTGATGTTTTAAAGACATTTACACTAAAGAAATATTAACATTGTAACACCCCATTTCTACCCAAGGCATATCTAAAATAAATCAAAGTCAGAGTGCACGAAATTTGTACACATGACGGTCGTCATGGACTTGTGACGGTCGTCACACACACAAAAACCTGGGCGTCACATCTTTCAGCTAACAGAAGCATGCATTTTACCATTTAATTTAACTAGGCAACACACATTCAGTAATGATACATAGCACATGAACTTGGATGAACATACGACAGCTTGCTTGACATATCGAGTTTTCAACATTTTATTAATTTGCAGCGGAACATAAAACACTTCCAACATTCTTAATGATTAAAATAAAATCATAAAACTTGCAACCAACTCGATTAAAATTCAGCAAGCAATCATCTTGCATAGATTCAACAAAACAATTAGTTCAGTCATAAATTTCAGCACTACCGACCCACCGGTCCAGTACGTACAACCAGCATTCAGTGCATTAACAAAAAAAACAACCAATTCAACTAAAATACTTAGTAAAATTCAGCAACAAGAAAACATCAAATAAACAACGTAAACAATCGTCCATCCCCCCAAGAGTGCTACATATCAGAGCGACCAACGACACCTTAACGGGAACTACGCTCTATTCCTGACTACCTGCAAATTACCACCAGAGGAGGTAACATACAACGGAAAAGGGTGAGATATCATTAATATAACATAGAGCATGATAGTAGACATGCCAGAAGCTCATCACAACATTATAAGTTTCGAAATCATAAACATCATCGACAACAACTGCAACAATCCATACCTCACGTAAAACAACATTAATATACAACTAACATAATTATGCAACTTCATGTGACTCAACAATGCGACTCAACTGTGCATATGCATGTGGTACCAATTTGGGAGACAACTATCCACAACTCGGGACAGGGCCAACACCCCGAACCCATCTAGGAGCCAACACTCCAAAACTCGGGACAGGGCCAACACCCCGAACCCATCTAGGAGCCAACACTCCAAATAACGCCAATACATGCACAACCGTCGCCAATCCAGGCCAAATGCTATGCCATGAAATGCATCTATTATGGACTACAACACAACCATAGCAACCATATAACAAGGCATTATGCCTACAACCAGAATGTCCATAACAGAGCATCATAACATCATACCACTCATACAACCATCACTTTCTACTCGTTCACATATGGGAACAATAACAACATAATTTCAACATTTACGACTGTTCATGTAAAGGAACATTGCAACATCGTATCAACAAATAGGAACTCAAAGTGTTCACACAAAACGGCTATTCCTATACAGGTATAACATCAACATCAGTTCTACATTTAATCTTTAACATCTTATCGTAATAACAACATTACGACATCTTCTCACATAATTAATTACAAATCAATCACAACCATGTAACTGTCCTTTTTGGACCAGTACCTGAAACTGACGCCTTAGACCAACTCGGCCATCTTGACGCCCATTAGGGAAAACCATTAGAGCGTTGTACGAATAACCGTATAGCATATTCGTTCTACGTATTTGCCCATAAGGAAAACCTTAGAGCATCGCACTAATAACCACATAACACATTCATTCCTACATAGAAATCTGGTCCCATTAGGGAAACCTTTTCCTTAACATTTATCGATTAACGAAAACTATACCTATGACTCGATCCCCACATGAATTCGATAATACTCCCAGTTATAGAATTGAACCCCACCCTTACCTTAGAATTGAGGCCAATTCCACACTTTCCGATTCCGCTTCTGCTCTACGGTGATTTTTCTGCAGAAATCTCCCGAATTCGCCGATGGATGATTCTTCGCTCTCCACTTCTCTCAATGCGTAACTTCTCTTTTCCGTCTTTCCTTTCCCAAAAAATGATGTAATTGAGGGTAAAAGAGTCTACGGGAATATATTTTTGCTACAAAATCTCATTCCACCAGAACACGTTCAAATTCTGCATAACTGCAGTTTTTGCTCGTGTGACGGTCGTCACACTCTTGTGACGGTCGTCACACTCCTGTGACGGTCGTCATAGCAGCAAAATTAAATTTTTTTCAATTTTTTTTCTAGATAGAACATCTCTTTAGCTTTCCAACTCTTCGAACGTGGGTCAAATTCGACTTACGGATCAAGAGATATGATTTTTCGAAGTTTCCTAAAACTGCTACGGAATTTTACACTATTTCCCTACAATTCGACCGATTCAATTTCCTTTCTTCGTTCCAAACACATACTCAACTACGACTACGATGCAACGAGACATAGCAAAGTCACAATTGAATTTAATCAAAATAAAACGGGGCGTTACAACTCTCCCCTACTTACAAGAATTTCGTCCTCGAAATTACCTTAATCAAACAGCTCGGGATAAGACTCCCGCATCTTGCTCTCTAGTTCCCACGTCAAGCTTTCGCCAGCAGCCCCCAACCAGACCACTTTCACCAAAGCAATCTCTTTACCTCATAACGTCTTCACCTCCCGATCATCAATTCTCACAGGCTTCGTCTCCACAGTGAGATTCTCACGTACTTGCACATCGTCCATGGGAATGACATGCGACAGATCTGAAATATACTTGCGGAGCTGTGACACATGAAATACATCGTGTAGATTCGACAAATTTGGCGGCAACGCCACCCGATATGCCACCTTTCCAACTCTGTCCAATATCTGATACGGACCAATGAAACGAGGAGTAAGCTTCTTATATTTCAAAGCTCTACCAACACCGGTCACCGGCGTGACTCTCAAAAATACATGATCTCCAGCTTCAAATTCTAAATCCTTCCTGCGCTTATCATGATAACTTTTCTGCCTACTCTGTGAAGTTTTCATCTTTTCTCGAATTAACTTCACCTTCTCGGTAGTCTCTCGAACAATCTCCGGTCCGAGTACCACACTCTCTCCCGATTCATACCAACACAACGGAGTCCTACACCGCCGACCATACAAAGCTTCGAATGGTGCCATTCCGATACTAGAGTGATAACTGTTATTATAAGTAAACTCTATCAACAGAAGGTATGTATCCCACGAACCACCTTCCTCAAGTACACATGCTCTCAGCAAATCTTCTAAATACTGAATAGTCCGTTCAGTCTGACCATCTGTTTAAGGATGGTATGCTGAACTCAACCTCAACTTAGAACCCAAAGCCTCATGCAGACTCTTCCAAAACTCAGAAGTAAACCGCGGATCTCTATCCGACACAATACTCAACGGGACACCATGCAACTTAACAACCACTCTAACATAAATCTCTGCCAACTTCGATACTGGAAAAGTGATGTTAATAGGGATAAAGTGAGCTGACTTTGTAAGCCTATCAACAATCACCCAAATAGAATCACATCCTCTCAAAGTGTTCGGCAAACCCGCTACAAAGTCCATTGAAATGCTGTCCCATTTCCATTCTGAAATTTCTAACGGTTGCATCAACCCAGCAGGTTTCTGATGCTCAACTTTCGACTTCTGACAAGTCAAACATGTATACACAAAACGTGCTACATCACACTTCATACCAGGCCACCAAAACAGATTCTTCAAATCATTATACATTTTCGTCGCCCCTGGATGAATACTCAACTTACTTCTATGAATCTCTTCCAAAATTGCTTTCTTCATATCTGCATTATTAGGAATGCAAATACGACCACGAAATCTCAACACTCCTTGCGCATCCAACTGATAATCATTATCTTCCGCATGATCTACTCCAGGCATTAAATCCACCAATTTCACATCCAATTTTTGAGCTTCTCTAATGCTGTCCAGAAATTCATTATTAATCTTTAACATGCCCAACTTTACACTATTCGGTGTTACTTCACAAACTAAACTTAGATCTCTGAATTGTTCAATCAACTCTAATTCTTTAGCCATCATTGCAGACATATGCAAGGTCTTGCGGCTTAAGGCATCAGCTACAACATTAGCTTTTCCCGGATGGTAATGTAACCCAAAATCATAATCCTTTAACAACTCTAGCCACCTTCGTTGCCTCATGTTCAGCTCTTTTTGGTCAAACAAGTATTTCAGACTCTTATGGTCGCTGAACACTTCGAATCTCGAGCCATACAGATAATGTCTCCAAATCTTCAGCACAAAAACAACGGCAGCAAGTTCTAAATCGTACGTGGGATAATTCTTCTCATGGATTCTCAGCTGT